GGCAAGGGGAGGGACTTCTGGTGGCAAAGGTCAGAGGTTATGGGGTGGGATTATCGGTCCCAATATGGTGACCAGGGGGTGGGGCACGTGTCAATGGAATGGGGCTACCCATGTGGCCCTTGGCAGCTTGCCAGAATTTGGTAAGCGGCCCTGTGCCCAAAATAATTGCCTGCCCCTGCATTATACTCTTCTCTCTGCCTCCTTGTTTCTGTCATCTGCATTTGACCTAACTCCTCTCTCTGTGTTGGTCTGATTGTTGTTTGTTCTTGCCATGTTTCTCTCATTCTTCTTATAGTCTGTCTACAGTCACTTTGGTGACTTTAATTATGATGAGTGATTTAATGTCAGTGACCCATTTGATAATTTAACTGCATGTCTCCCCAGGCTTATCTTCTGAGTTGAACTGCAGCCCTGGTTCAGCTCTGCCACTTGTCAAAAGGAGTTTATGTAACTTGCTTCAATATGTCATTCAAGAATCTTTCTCATACCCCTTTCCAAGTTTCTGTGGGGATTTCTTTGTCTTTTCTTTCAGAGTCTTTACTGGCTCTATTCCCTTTTATCTCTGCATTGTCACATCTAGAAATAAAAATTCCATTACTCTATTTATACAGAGCTTTTTATTTTAGGCCTGTCTTACCAACATCTCTCACTTCTAGCCATCACTTCACTGTGGCTATAAAAGATTTCCTAGCTCCCTAATTTACCTTTCACCCTTATACTCTTTCTTATGCTTCCTCTCTTGATCTTCACCTTACCTGTTGTTTTGTGCATAACTAGAGATTCTTCAAATGAAAACTCCTTATAGGTTTTCATGTCCAGACTACATGTAGATCTTACTGGTTCTTTCTGTATGACATCTCTATGGAAAAATTCCCAATCCAGCCACACAACTAAAACTCTTGTCTAAGCTTCCATCATCTCATAATTTAATTAGTTCAATATCCATTCTCTGATCGTGACCTGTTTGTGTTCTTTCAGAGAGCTGCTGTTAGAATTATTTTTCTGGCCTGTCATTTTAACCATGCCACATCTTTGCATCCCAGCAGTGGTACTCTCTGCTCAAATATAGGTGACTTGTTTTTCTGTTCAAGCTCCTTCATAGTGGGTAGCCTAGGGGTGGGAAGTTATTTTGGCTGGAGGGTTGCTTAATGAGTTTTGGTGAGCTGTCAAGGGCTGCAAGG